CCTTATTTGTTTACAATTAGAACGTCTTACCCCCCGCGAAGCCCGCATCACGGATGGGTCCGCTCGATGTATGGCCGTTTCTACGCCCTCTCTCCCTTCGCCCTGATCTATATAGAGGAGCCTGCGGAGGAGGCAGCGCGCTCCCATTGTTTTTCCGCTGATCTCTATTCCCAACTGAAGCGACGAGGGACGACGCAGGCAGAACAAATCGTTGAAAATTCAAGATGTCTGCCGAAAAGAGTGAAGACGTTTGTCAACATTATGTGAGAAAATGTTGCTTAGTGGTGAGTGCCAATGTCAAATAATGCATTTAATGTAAATTAAATATTGTATTTTATTAAAAGATAATAAATTAAATGTTTTATACGTCAAAGAATCAAGATACTTTTAGAGAAATGTATAAACTACAGTATAAATCTTTAATACATTTTCTTATTCAGAGTCCATGTTGTAATAAAGTGTATCCATGTCGTTTGTGCCATGATGAAAAAGAAAATCACAAATTGGTTCGAGCTAATGTTAAATTTATAGAATGTTTGCAGTGTGGTTCCAGGCAGAAGGTACTGCAGGGTAGTAAGGAATCATATAATTCCAAGGCTTTAATTCATTTACTTTCTACTGTAATATTCCATGCACTTTATATATATGTGCCAGATATATCCAGATGGAAGTTACAAAACCTAAATTGCCATGTTTGCTTGAGATAACTCGGGTTAACAACCGCATCCATTTTGTTTATTTTATTTAACAACTTTATTGGTGCTATAAATTACATTAAAATAATTAGTACAATATCAACTGCAAAGGTTCCAACGGGAGATCGGGAGGCTCCCGATTTCTTGGCAAATCTCCCGATTTATATGTAAACCTCCCGATTTTACGAATGAAAAGAAAAAATGTTACTTTTTCTAAAAGAATCCTTGTAAAAGCCGTTTGTGTACGGTAAAAACGGTTGTCGGATCGACAAAAAAGCGGTATTTCGCCAAGAGGGGTGTTTTGTACGACAAAGTTTCGTAATATTTCGCATGAAAGGCGGACATTTACAGTTGTTGTATTCACGAGTCTCGGAATCAAGAAATGGTGCTTCTGAAAGAAAGTTTAAATTTTCTAAATTTTCTACCCAGTCACACTAGAGGTCAACGTTTTCTTGCCTTTACCTAGCCTGCATGGCAGGCGGTACGTAGGAAATACCGCCTGCCGCAAAACTGGGTGTAAATGAACTACCGCCCCTGAAGCATCAACGCTATTTATAGATGCGTTAATTAAGTAAATATTCAAAATTAGCCACTCCCAAGCTGCTCCCAAGTCCCAACTGCCCAACATAAAATAAATTCCTTGATTCTCATCACCGCCCGACTGAATTTTAAAATCCTCGTGAAAACGTTTTATTTTTAGTTATACAATATAAATGTACCGCCCGACAAAATAATTCAAGACAGTTAATTTTTTCATTTTTATATAGAGTTTTTATTGCCATTTTAAACTTCCAATTTGAAACAAACAGAATTTTGAGTGAAATTTCATTGTATTTTAAAGAAACTCAGTCATTCTGTCATTGTTTGTGGAGATACGAACTATTGATATATAAATTATATAAATATAAAATATAAAAAATAAATCTCCCACTGTCTTTGACATTTCAAAGTGTAGACTGTGTCTAGTGATGAGAATCAAGGAATTTATTTTATGTGTTAATATAAACCAAGCCCGTTTAGCCGTTTAGCTGCCTTAAAGCGGTGGTTTAATAAGCTCAAAATACAAAGCATGCAAGTCTATACTATAGATTCATCATCAGTCAACAACCAAACTGAAAGTATTGAACCTTATAGAACGATAGTTTTTATTTGTTTACAACTATACATATTCAACGGTTATATAAGAGTTTAACTGTTATTTGATAATTACTGCTGCATCAACCGGCCCCTTGTTTATACTTTGTAGGTTTGTATATATTAATATCTATCAAGTATCTTTGGTTCAGAACATGACTGATAGGCCTATATGGAAATCCCACTGTTCGATTCAGTGAAGAAATATCTCCTAATTTCTATTGATAGTTTTAGTAAAATGTCAACATTATTGCGATTTATGGCCTTTGAAAGTCAAGCGAGATAGTATATTATCAAATTAATACGCATGTAATTGTCTGAACGAAAATATAGACTAGCCCATACCTTTCGCCGATCATAACTTCGGCCCCTTCGGACATATCTTCTTTGTTAAATATTCTTGTTCGGATCTCTATCAATAACACTATTTAGAGTATTATTTTCCAGCTTGTATCTTTTAATTTGCTTCTTTTATTATGTTATTCCATTTCTGGTCTGACTTGACGTGAACTAATTTCAAAACGCAGAGTTTCAAAACGTCAAAACATTTGGTTAATGATTAACATTTAACCGAATTTAGCCGTTGATTGACAACTACATAAAAATACTAACCAATCCGTTTTTCCCGTTCACCAGCGGCCGGGTAATTCAAAAACCCCTAGTTTTGCGGCAGACGGTATTTCCTTTGCTTCCCTAATTTTCGCTGCCCGTAGAAATACCGCCTGCCATGCAGGCTAGCCTTTACCAGACCTCCCGATTTTTGGAGATGTCAAGTTGGAACGTCTGCAACTGGCTCAAAAGGGAAGGTGCGAACGAGACTATATAGGAGTCCCATGCAAGGCATGTCTATACAGTGTATAGTCCCCATGCAAGGCAAAAACTATATACTGTAGGAGTCCCATGCAATGCAAAGGGTCAAGGTGCGAACGAGACTATATACGGTATAGGAGTCCCGTGCAAGGCTGTGAATATTAGTGATATGCATATTATTATTCTATGTGTACAGACAGGAATTGCTTGTATACTGCCCCTAAATCGAAAATAAAAAATCGGACACTGTCAATCAATGAGAAATATAATTTAAAATCATCATACCAAATTTCATGATGATTGGACTCAAAATGATCAAAGGAGCCTTGGGATTTTTTCAAAGAGCGTTACCCCCTAACAATGACAACAACAACAAGAAGATTAGCAGCGATTGGGGAACCATTTCCTACTCCAATGATAGTGGTTGCCATGGTAACGTGAAATGTACAATGCTGAGCTTGTACTCACACATTTTGCTATGTTCTCATATTTATACCCTGGTGTAACTAGACAGAATTATAGCACCGTCTGGCGGACTACTCTGGCCTGTTGCCAGGAATGGCACTGTTGGCTCAGTGATTACTAAGTTGGCAGATTTTGTGGTAGATACATACTGTAGCTGGTGATGACCAAATATGAACACAATGTATTATTGTGTTGCAATTTAGATTTTAAAAGTTAAATAATATACAATTGCTTGTTATGGATGTATGGCTAAATTGAGAGTATAAATAGTGTTAAATGGTCAGCAATATTTTGGCCGGTTAAATGCGTATAGTCGCTTGGACTTGTAACAGACTCCTGCAGCCAGAGTGTACAATGGATAAATTGTCAGTGACATTATACACTGACTCAACTACCTCAGGAAATGTTGATTG